AAATACTGTTAATTAATGTAAACAATTAAATTTCTTCCCCTCTTTTTGAAATGGCCTAGTTTGAAATGTATCAAGGCCTAGTTTTAAAATGTATCTTAAAAAAGTATTATTATATTTATTATTATTATATTATAAGTATTATTATATTGGGGTGAAGTTGGACAGAAAAAAGAAACATTTATGTCCCGCTTGTTCCCGACGTCATTTGATTATTTCAATTTGTGACAGCTCTTGAACATTTTTATGTCGATAAGATAATTTTATGATATTATCAGTTTTTATTTAATAATTTATGTTAAAGTGTTGTTTTAAACTTATTTTCCCACCTTCTACTCACACTTGCCCCACTTTTCCCGAAGGAACGGTTATTCTAAAAACAAAACTTTTTATACTTAGTTATATTTGGCTGGAAACATTAGGCGATTGAATCGGTGCTAAAAATGAAGGTTTATTCATAAAAACTTTTTGTTTGTTTCAGTTTATACATAAAATAAATAAGGTACTGCAATTACTCTCATACAAACTTATGTGTCCCACTTCTCCCCACTCTCCCCTAATTTCAATTAACTTTTTTTTTTTTTGAAACTGCGTTATTTTCAAAATTGTGTTTTTTGCATAACTGTGTTTATCTAATGGTTTCGTTTTGTTATGGTAAAAGTATCTTTTACTTTTAATATGATATTATGTATTTAAAATATATAGACCATATAATTTTATAATAATTATGTATTTAATTATGTAATTTATATAACTATGTATTTAATATGATAATGTATCATAGATGTAAATTTTTTTTACTCTAGATTAAAAAGAATGCAAATCATTTTTGTCGCAGTTATATTTGCATCAATAATACTTTCAGAAAGTAATATATCAGAAATTAATCCTCGAACTGGTACTGTTGTTACCTACGGTTGCTTTAAATCAAATTGCTGGGTATATTGTAATGTAAGATGTTATTTTTTTAATTAAAACCTGAATTAGTGTTCGATTGAGAATTATTGGGGATTTCTTTATAACTGATTAACATTATAATATTGCATATATATATTTTTTTTCTGTTTAACATGGTTTAAATTTTATTTTTACAATGCATGTTTAACTACATATACAATAGAAGAGAATACATAAATAAATACTGAAAACTACATAATAATTATAACAAAGTTAAAGCTGAGAGGGGCTCAAAGAAAACAAGGAATAGACTACATTATCATAATCTTTTCATAGAACCTCTTTATAAAGACTTAAATATTATATCGTAATGATATAAAGTTACCGTTAAAATAGTCAAAACAATTAAATAAAAAATAAACAAACAGTAAACAAAAAATATAGTCAAACGAAAAAAAGTTACCGTTAAAATAGTCAAACAAATACTAAAAATGCATTTTTTTTTTGTTTGAAACTGAAACGAGTATAAAGACTTCAACATTAGTTTATATTCCTTTTGACAGTCATTCCATAATTTGGGTCCTCAATAAGATATGCAATATTATGAGAATTTATCATATTTCCGAGGCAATTTATAATTGTTGTTACTATTTGATTTTTGATTATAATTTTTAATGCTTATATATATATATATATATATATATATATATATATATATATATATATATATATATATATATATATATATATATATATATATATATATATATATATATATATATATATATATATATATATATATATATATATATATATATATATATATATATATATATATATATGTATATATATATATGATTATAATTTTCGTTTATATTTTTTTCAAACTTGTTGTTAAAATTTTCTGGCAAGAGGTCGTTGTAATATCTATACATAAAAATAAGATGCTGATAGGTATTTATTTCAAACACATTGATAATTTTCATGTCTTCCATAAGAGGTTTTGTATGTTCTTGTTTGTGTTTAGAGTATATTATTCGAAAAGCGTGTTTATGTAACCTATAAATTTTTTGGAGTTTAGTTTGTTGCGTAATTGCCCGTTATATGTTTGCATAATTTATGAAACAGTGAATTAGACAAAAGTATATCAATTTAAGACTTAACATATTGAGGTATGGGGAAACTCGATAACAGGATAAACTTTCATCGACAAGAATTCCTAAAAAGTTTATGCTTACTTGTTTTTTAATTATTTTTTGAATTTGTATGATGAGCTGTTTATATTTTTTATAAACTACATACAGAGCCGACGCTAGGCTCCTCACATTCCATAGTTATTGTGGAGGGGAGGATGATTGCAAATGTAGAAAGCTTTTTTTTTGAAATACCTAATGGAAATATTTTCAAGATTTTAGGGCCTTTATAACAGGTTTTAAAAAGGTTTAATTTTTCAATAAAAACTTTGGAATATTTATGGTAGAGCGGGCAAAAAGGGACACTTAAGAAACAAACCATTTTTAGGTTAAAAATAAATATGCAAAAATGCGCCAATTTTGTATCGCAAATACGCCAATTTTGTATTGTTGTATCGCAAATACGCGAAAATAGCGAAAATACCAAATTTTTGTTTTTCGCAAACTTACTGATGCATTTTGGTACATTTAATGCATTTTGGTAATTCTAAAATTAATTTTGTTTTTAAAATAATGAAGCACAATAACTTAAAATGTTTAATCAAAAAATTTTTGAAAAAAACAGTTTTAGCTATATATATATATATATATATATATATATATATATATATATATATATATTATATATATATATATATATATATATATATATATATATATATATATATATATATATATATATATATATATATATATATATATATATATATATATGTATATATATATATATATATATATATATATATATATATATATATATATATATATATATATATATATATATATATATATATATATGTATATATGTATATATGTATATATATATATATATATATATATATATGTATATATATATATAAATATATATATATATATATATAAATATATATATATATATGTATATATATATATATATATATATATATATATATATATATATATATATATATATGTATATATGTATATATGTATATATATATATATATATATATATATATATAATATATATATATATATATATATATATATAAATATACATATATATATAAATATATATAAATATATATATATATATATATATATATATATATATATATATATATATATATATATATATATATATATATATATAATTAAATGTATTTATATATGTATATTAGTGGCAAACCAAACAGTGGTGTTGGTCGAACAAGGAATCAAATCAAGGGAAAAAAGTATGCTCATCTGATCAAGACTGCCGTGATTATTACCACAAGTGTGTAACTCCGTGTGGTTTCTAATTCTTTTAACAAACATTTTAAAATTATTTTTTGTATTTTTTTTAAATTTATGAGCATTTTATAACGCACCCTTATTATTATTAATTTTTTTTTTTTGGTTTTTAACTACGTATATTAAAACTTAAGTTTTTTCAAAATTTGTTAAAATTTAAAAACGGTTTGTGTAATGTTATTTTAAGCCATTAAGATATTATTTTACAATTGTTTCAGTTTTTGATTTCGATGTAAGAGAAAAATTGAATGAACATTTTAAGACCGCTGTTAATCTTTATTTGTTATTCATATTTCTTTTGACAATTGAACGAGTTCAATAAGAGGGCCGGCGCGAGTAGGTCACAAGTGCAGAGTGAGGGAAAAAAGGAAAGAAAAAAAGCTTTCTAGTTTCCCAAGTTGCCGACAGGAAATAAACAGTCCACTTTCTATTTTGCCGACTAAATATAAAAAAAAGTTTCCAATTTGCCGACTGAAGATACAAAGAGGTTAAGTTTATAATTATTATACATATATATGTATATATATATATATATATATATATATATATATATTATATATATATATATATATATATATATATATATTCTTTTCATTTCTGTTTAACATAGTTTAAATATTATTTTTAATGCACGTTTAAATACATATACGATAGAAGAGAATATATAAATAAAAACTGGAAACTACATAATATTTAAAATAAAGTTAAGGCTGAGAGAGGCTCAAAGAAAGCAAGGAAAAGGTTACATTATCATAATCTTTTCATAGAGCTCCTTTATAAAGACTTAAATACTATATCGCAATGGTATAAAGTTACCGTTAAAATAGTCAAAGCAATTAAATAGAAAATAACCAAAGAAAAGTTAACCGTTAAAATAGTCAAACAAATTCTAAAAATGTAATTTTTTTTATAATCACATTTTCAAAATTTCCTTTTTTTGTTTGAAACTTTAACGAACTGAAGAACTTCACCTATAATTTATATTCCTTTTGACAGTTTTTCCATAATTTGGGTCCTCGATATATAATATTCTGAAAATTTATTATATTTCTGAGACAATTTATAATTGTTGTTTACATTTGATCTCAGATTATTATTTTGATTTAGATTTTTTTCAAACTTGTTGTTAAAATTTTCTGGTAAGACGTTGTTGTCATATCTATACTTAAAAATTAGACGATGATAGGTATTTTTTTCAAATATATCCATCATTATCATATCTTTCATAAGAGATTTTGCATGTTCTTGTTTGTGTTTAGAGTATGCGATTCGGCAAGCGCGCTTTTGTAGCTTATAAACATTTTGGAGTTTAGTTGGTTGCGTATGCCCATAATATATTTGCATAATTTATGAATCAGTGAATTAGTCTAAAATATATCAAGTTAAGATTTTAACATATTGAGCTATGGGCAAACTTGGTAATTTGACTAAATACAATTTATTTGGGGAAGCCAAACCAGGATAAATTTTTATCGACAAAAGTTCCTAAGAACTCTATGCTTACTCTTTTTTTTTTTTAATTGTTTTATCATTTAAGAAGAGTGTAGCATTTAAGCGGGCAGCTTAGGTGGAATGTTAAGTTCTTGTGTTTTTTTATGAAATAGAGTATAATTTCTTTTCTCAACATTAAGTGAAAGTTTATTTGTTCTGAACCAAATATTTACTTTAACTAACTCCGTATACATATCAGTATATAAATGTTTAATATCGTTATTGGTGAGAAAGAAATTTGTACCGTCTAGAGGGTTCTTTCCAGGAATTACCGAGATTTTTTTTATATTTTATATTTCCCGTTACCCTGGAAAATTACTAAAACTTCCAGAGAAAAAATCAAAGGGTTACTTGTGTAAATGTTTTATTATATTAGGATAAGTATTTATTTAAAATAAAAATAAATTAATGTACACAAAGTTATTTAACGTTTATAATCTGACTTTAGAAGTCACCTATAATATAGAAAAATGTAAAATCAAATCATAACTTTTTTTATTAAACGTTATTTAAAGCAAACATAAAGGTCATTATTTCTAATACAAAGCTCTAAATGCTCCCCAGTGGCTTGTAAAACGTGATTTAAAACAATTATATAAATTTCAAATACAAAACGCTAATTACTCTTTAAAACTTGTAATTAAATTTATTATTGAAGAAATTACCTCACTTAACTTGTCAATACGTACAGAAAAACATTTAGTTTTCTGCATATCAAAATATTCCTAATATTTCTGAATACGCTCAAAATATTGTTAATATTTTTTTTAACCTCAAAACTAATTTCTTTGCTCTAGTATTAATTTTTTTAAATTTCGAATCACCTTAACATTGTTTTAATCGTGACTGATTCAGTGTAAAAATATTTTTCAAAAGAAAAAGCAGGTGAACAAGCTAATAGTTGATTAATAAGACATTTGCAACATGTTCATAACATTAATAGCAAGAAAATAAACTAATATGGAGATTAAATTGCTGCACAATGGGTCAAAAGTGACTTTTTTAGCCAAAACCCCTAAAAAATATTTTAACTATTTATTTTTTTTTTATTGCAAACATTTTTTTATATTGAAATAAAAAAGTATGCAAAAAAAATCTTAGTTTTAAAAAAACTTTGACTTTTATTGCATAATTTTTTTAAAGGGGTTACCATAAAGGACGTCATCCAAATAGTGTGGTGGGGGTCGAGATAAAAAGAACAAAAAAAGACAAGGAAAAGGGAGGAAGTTTGTCAGAAATGAAAGCCACTTAACAGATTTTTTTTTTTAGTTATGTAACATTAAAAACTATATAAATATGTGTTCTTAAGAAGATAATGTATGAGAAAATTTAAATTTTATTTTTTAAAGATGTAGAAGCAGTTTCAAACATCGTTACGAGATGAAAGAATTTTTTGGGGGTTTAAAATAAGGAGGAGGGGTCTTATTTTGAACCCCCAATTTTATGACGTCTTTTTCAAGGGGGTATAGGAAAAAAGGATAGGCGGTAACAAAGGAGGAGGGGGAAGGAGTTGGTCTAAAATTGACTAAAAAATGATGACGTACTTTATGGATGGTCCCCCTAACTCCAATTTTTTCCCCTATAAAAAATTTCCAAAGCAAGCTATAAATTTAGCAAAAAGAATTTTAGTTAAAGTTTTTTTCTCCCTAAAGTATTTCTTGCAATAATTTAGTAACACTAAAGGTAAAATTTTTTTTTTTTTTGTTTATTTAGGTGCTCCCAGAAGTCCTTACGATCTTATTGCGGAGCACCGCGGGAGAACATTTAGCTATAAGTTCACGCCTCCTACCTTACCAATGTCGCTTTCTGGGCTAGAGTTGGCGTCGAACCTCGGACCTCTAAGTTCTAAGCCAGAACTCTAACCACTGCGCCACGTCTGCTCTTACTATGCATAGTAATAAAAAAACAATGTGGGTTAATATGGCAAATTTCCACCCAAAAATTCATAATAAATCAAAACAAAAAAAATATGATTTAAAACTATAATAATATTTTTAAAATTTTTTTTATCTGTGTTGACTAAAACAAAATGTAATAGATAATTAAAAAATTATTGCTATACGCATACATTATTTGCAAAAACATTTATAACAAAGACGTCACTAAAAAGTCATAAAGAGCACAAGATGCTGGGCTCCTTCAACAGAGCCATTGCATCTGCAGACAGAATAGCTTTTTTAGAACTGTTTGTTTTACGGTATTACGGTATTGTTTTACAATGAAAGGATTTAAATTGCACAAAAAGGAATGAAACACATTATGTCTAGTGAAGCACTACCTCTATTTTTTAAAGCACTTATTTGAGACTTCTTGCGCTTCCTCGGACATAGTATATTTTTGGAAAAAAGAAGAGTTAAACTGGTTTGTTTTCACGTGAATTTTTAGTCATAGAAATGTTGACCCCCTTTTTTTTATTATTAAAAATGTTTTCTACATTCATTTCCTATGCAATTTCTACATGCATTTTCTATGCACTTGCCAAATTTTAACGAAAAATAAATAGGACCAGATTGTATAATTAGTGTGGAACTTTTGGTACCTAATTTTTGTTTTTCTATTGTTTTTTTTCGGCAATGCGGAGTACAGGGGCCGGATCGGAGGGTCAATTTTATAAACAAAAATTATTACATTAATGTATTGTTTTAATTTTTATTATTAGATTTATAATAAAATGGATTTATATTAAAACTTTTTTGGATTCTCTAACAGGTAGTAAGTTTATTAAATTTATTAAAATTATTAAATATTAAATTTTATTAAATATTAAATTTTACTCAATGTTAAATTATTAAGTTTACTAAAATTATTAAATAAATTAAATTTTATTACAAATTTGTTTTACTTTAAGTTTCACTACCTTCACAACCCGCACAACCTTCTGGTAAATTTATGATTTAAAAATGTTTCCAAATGATTATTAAATTCATAATATTTCTATTTATTTACACTTTTTAATACAATTGTATTATGTTATCCCTAAAAGTGCCATAGAAGGTGAATCAATAGCAGTATTTAAATTTTCATCGTATTAAATTTGAGAAGCTATCATTGTTTTATAAACTGTTTATTTTATTTATTTAGCCAATTACTTTTACAGGTAATTGCTTTATATAAAATTTTATATAACGCCATCAGTACTAATCTTTCAGTACTTATACAGGGTGACTGCTGTTCATGGAAATCATTAAATTGTCATGGAACTTTATTTAGTCATGGAAAAAAGTCATGGAATTTCTAAATTTTCATTGAAATTTTTGGAAAATTCATGGAACTTTTTAAAATGATCATTTTTTTTTCTACTTATGTTATTTTTAGGATGCAAAGAAAAGTACTAGCATATCTAGTCAAAGTCCTTTTTGAAAAAGATATTTTTGCAGTGTCAGTTACCAGAGAAGTAAAAGATTTTGTTGTTTTTGTGTTATTGTTTTTTTTAGGTTGGAGCGGGTAATTCATCTTTTTATGACAAAATTGATACTCGTACGCATCTTGTAATGTGGTAAAATAGTTTTTATACTATTTTCTCTCATTTTAAAAAACCATTTTAACATTTTTTTTTTGAAATTCTCATTAAAAAAAAAAATTCAG